CCTACGAACCCCTGCGCTCGGGGGGGTGAGGGGACTGGGGGTGGGGGACCCTCACTTCAAGCCTACAGCTCGGGGCAGGGGGCAGGATGGTTCCCAGGGCAGGTCCCGCCACTCCCACTGTGGGGCCCCAGGGCCATCTCCCAGCTCAGGCAGAGGGACTCCGCCCGTCCAGTCCCGCAGACCTGACCGCGGAGCGGGTACCTTTGACCCCCGCAGGGGACGCCCGGCCCAGCTGTTGGACCAGGGACAGGGTTCAGAGGGAGGCCGGCCCCTTGGCAGACACCGTGCAGCCGAGAGGGGCAGTCGGAATCCCCAGGGCCCTGGGAGCAACCCCTCCTGCTCCAGTTGGCCAGGCCTCCTTGGCCATTGGGACACGGGAGAGTACCCCCTGCCCCTGGTGCAAGTGTGTGGGGCTGCTGGAAGGAAGGGCTTTGGCCCCCAGTTTTGCTGTCACCCCGCTCCAGTTCCCCAGATCTGACAGCCTCTAGCACTCACCTCACCGTTTCCCAAGAGCTCCAAAAACTACGGAGAAGTAGAGCACTGCCTACAGAAGGGGCGAGGCTGGGTTTTTGGACACGGCCTTCCTGCCAGCCCCAGGGAAGAAAACTCCCAATGAATCAAACAGGACACAATTTCACCCACTGTACTTTTATTCACATCATGTATTTTGGCATTTTCCAGAGGACAGGGTAGAGACAGGGTAGAGGAAAGACTGAGGCAGGAGGGCGAGGGGGTCCCCATTTCCCTCATATCCCTTCTGACCTGACCACACAGGGAGCAAACACAAAGGGGAAGGGGGAGCAGGGACACCCCCTTCTGTGGAAGAGGCTGCACAAAGCGACACACACACACACACACACACACACATACACACACACACAAATAAGCCCCTTCCACACCAGGAGCTGGCAGGACTAGAGAAGCAGAGGAATGAGGGCCCAGGAGGAGGGGAAGCAACATAGTCTCCTCACAGACAGGCAGCCACCCTCCCGTCCCCTTCCTGCTCTATCCCCAAAGTCTCTTGAGTGTCCCTCCATTCTGCCCGGCCATTCTCCTAGTGCCTCTAGCTTCTTCCCTGCTGCAGGGGACAAGAAAGGAAAAGGGTGCAGAGCCAGCGGCTGCAGTCCACTCCCAGCCCCTCTCCCTCATCCCAGGTGGCCTGCCCCTGCCCTCCGCGGTAAGGGTCAGGACAGGCTCTTAGCTGGCCACTCTCTGGTAGAAGTAGATGTAGCCCAGGTCCTTGGGCGGCTTCTCAGAGGCACACACTTTCTGGTCGTTGTAGATCACCCATCTGGGAAAGTGGGGGGAGGTGGGAAAGGATGAACAAACTGAGCAGTCCACAACGCGTCAGCTAGGTTCTCTGACCCAGCCTCTGAGTCAGTCCTGGTGATTGTGGGGAAAGCCCCCCAAACCTACAGTCCAGCTGCTACCCGTCTAACAAAGACCATTTCCCCTACTCGGTGCCTGCAGATCCTCCAGACACCCCCCTCCGCCCCCGCCCATTCCTGTAAGGCAGGGGTCGGCAAGCTTTTCCTCTAAAGGGCCAGGCTTGGTAGGCCATTGGGTCTCTGATATAACTACTCATTTTCCTCTTGCAGAGTGAACACAGCCACAGATAATACATAAATGAGTAAGTGTAGTGATGCTCATTAAAACTACTTACAAAAGCAAGAGGCCGACCCAGCCCGAAGGTTTGCCTGATGTTTGCTGTCGGGCATTCTCTCATCCCTGGCGGATGTGCTCCCACCGGGCAGTCCTTCACCTTCTCCACACATACTCTAAGGGTTTCCAGGTGGCCCCCGCTCACTTCTACCACCACTCCCCCATTCCAAATGCACACTGTGGCCCCTCACCTGCCTTCCTTCTTGATGTGGCAGACGTAGTGACCACACATGGTGGAGGTGCCCATGTGACTAATGAAGGCAAAGAGCTGGTACTCTAGGGATGGGGAGAAGGGGAGGGCAGAGAAGACAATGAGAAAGGAATCCTTGAGTGACAGTCCAAACATGTATCTAACAGCTCAAATTCAGGGTGTGGGCATGTATTGGGTCAAAAGTCTATCTCCGCCTCCTAGAATCCCACCGCCAGGAGTCACGTCGCGGGAAAAGAGCTCCTGCGCCCTCTGCCCCGAGGGAAGCAGAGCCGCCCTGGAATGAGGCTCTGGTGGAGCAGACTGGCCTGTCCCCTTTCCCGGGGACACTCACTTCCAGAACCATCCCGCACTTTGGGTCCCACCGGCACAGACTCAGAGATGGAGTCGGCAGCTGAGCGACCCTCCGAGATGTCCATGGCAGCTTCCGCGTCTAGGTCGTCAATGTGGCTGAAGATCCAGTCCACAGCCCGCTCTAGACTGTTGTTCTTGGAGAGGAGGAAAGCATTACATTTCCAACAAGTTCGGGCGCGAGAAAACCGCCAGGGAAGGCCTCAGCTCCTCATCACAGCCACAAAAGGGTGGAGCCCAGCCCTGGACATTCCGCAGCGGCTGTCCTGCTTACGAAGGATGGAACCTCGTTCCCACCCCCTTTGGCCTCAGAGGCCCCGGTCCTGAGTGGGGGCAGCCCCTACCGTGGCCCGCAGAGCTTTGAGGGCCTGGTCCCGGGAGAAGCCCATGGAGACAATGGTGGTCACGCAGTCCTCTGGGGGGGGGTCCGCAGCCGCACTTGTGGAGCCAGGCCCGCTGGAGCCAGGCAGGATGAGGGGGTTCGCAAAATCTGTGGGTGCGAAGGGGTTGAAGCGTTTGGGGGAGGATGGTGGCCCTGCCAGGCCCTGCCGCCCATCCCCACCTACCTGGATCATCCATGTGAGACATGACCCAGTTCATGGCAGCCTCGGCCCCGCTGTTGCCGGTGTAGTAGACAGCTTTGCGGCAGGCATCCATAGGGAAGCCCATCTCCACCAGCTGGATGATGACTGACTCATCCAACATGGGGGCTGTGGTGGGAGAAGTGTGGGCACGGTGACCGATTTCTTGGGCCACTATTTGCTCCACCTTCTCCTCCGCCCCACAAGCCAGCCCCCAGCCCTCTCCCAACCATTCCATTCCATGCATTTTTCTTCTACAGCCTGGCACCTTATCCCAGAACTGAAACGACAGACAACACAAAGTGGGTCCAATATCCTAAAGGCACAGACCAAAGCTAAAGATCCTTCCTTGCCCAATCTCACAGAATGGGCTCTTTCTCTGGAGTATGATACGCAGCCCCCACACCTAACTAATAGGTGACAAGGGTAGGGAGGCAATGCTACTGCCATCCACACAGAGAACGTGGCTGGGAGTGCTTCAGTCGGTCCTCAGTCCACCCAAAGAGGGCAAAGGAAATTGGAAAGGGAGGACAGGAGAAACACAAAGGACAGGGTTGTGGGGAGGCAGGCAGAGAAGACCCCCCATGAGCAAGGGAGAGAGACAGGCAGGAAAAAGAATCACTAACATGTCGGAGAGGAGAAGTGAGGGGAGCAGAAGGAGTCTTCGTCTTCGTTGCCATAGAAACCAAGGCTACCTTTGGGCTCATCCGGAGTGACCAGGGGTGGGGCAATGTCAGGCAGCTCCTCCTCTCCAGGCTGCAGCCCTGTACCCCTCAGCTGGGAGATGTCTAGCTCGTCTGGCATCTCGATGGACACATCTGTCATGGGAACGGCAGGACAGGGTCACCCAGGAGCGCCGAGGCCCTCCCCGAAAAAGCACTTCGGGAATCTCAAGCCCCGGCACCGTGTCTTAGCACTGCCCTGTAATCGGAGGCTGTTCAGAGAATACCAATCTTAGGGATCCCAGTGTAATAAAAATAATTGTGGCCTGGGAGTCAGGAGACCTGGATTCCAGCCCTAGATCTACCACAAATGAGCTATGGGCAAGGAAGGGGGGCCTCCAACTTGTGGGACAGGATGATTTTATACTTCTGTGAGTCTCAACTTATCTAGGAATTGAGGTTAAATCAGAGTTCTCAGTCAGCAGGGGCCTGTAAGGCCCATGAGAACTCATTATTTACAGATTATTAAAATGGAAACATCTTAACAGATGAAAAATAAAAATTGTGAAACTATGAAGATCATGTTTGGTTGTAAATTATAACTCTAAAATCAAAGCAGTCTTATGGGGGGGCTGAGGACACATTTGTAATACCTTAATAATAATAATAATAATAATAAAAGAAAAAAAAAAAGCAGTCTTGGTGCTGGCCAGGTAGCTCAGTTGGTTAGAGAGTCGTCCCCATATGCCAAGGTTGTGGGTTCGATCCCTGATCAGGGCATATATAAGAAGCAACCAATGAATGCATAACTAAGTGGAACAACAAATAAGTGTTCTTTCTCTCTCTCTTGCTCTCTCTCTCTCCACCCCCCCCCCCTCTTTCTCTCCCCATCCTTCTTCCTCTCTCCATATATA